TGGACCACTATTTTTAGCTTATTTTCTGTTACTTACCGGGCTGACTCCTCCTCTGCTGCATCAGCCCCCACATGTTTTCATCTCAAATGTTCACTTAGGGACGTCGTGCTTCCGTGCCATGCTAGATGGTTTTTGCATATTTTGCAGGTCACCCGTCTTTTCATGACATCTAGAGTGAAGTGCTCCCATACTCGTGAGGTTTTTGTCCGGGGTTTCTCTTCAGTTTTGTCGCTTCTATTTTTCTTCCGTATTTCTTCTTGTTCCGCCATCTCTCACAGCAAGATGAGCATCAGTAACGTGTTACGTCATGAAAACCGAGGGTACTTATTGGCTCGTTTCTTCTCCTACGGCTCCACAGGTAGATCAGTGGCTCATTACTGCCACACACTGGCGGCAAACTTAACAGATTGTAACCGATGTCAGATTGTGGTAAAAATAGTCTTCATGCGGTAAAATGTGATTACTAAACAACTAATCGATGACTAAGAAAGTTGTTAACTATTTTAATAATCGATTATAATCGATTAAATCGATTAGTTGTTTCAGCTCTAGGAGATAGTCAGCCAGTTTTCTATTTAATGCATTTTAAAGCTGTCTCTATCCCAACAGCACGAACATCCAAATGCAGCTTTTGGTAATAACTGTCACCTAAAATCTGTTCGTTTCTACTCCTGTGTGTCTCTGCAGGTGACCTCTATGTGACCTGTCTCATCCAGAACTGCTCCAACAAAATGGTGACTGCTCAGTTTCTGGGTAAAATCGACCACAACTCGCTCTTGGTCCAGGACGACTACGTGTTTGTTAAGGTAAACAACAACAAAGAGATTCTGTCTTATTTCTGCAAAGATGTTTGTTTCAGGGTGGAAAATGGCAGGAGTCTCATACACTCATTAACATTATTAAACAGCTAGCTTCTAATTGGCTAACAGCAACACAACTCTTCTTCTACCTCCGTTCACTCCTCTTCCTTGCACTGTAACCCCGAATAAGTTCACTGAACTCTAAATTTATGAGGAAACTGATTACCTAATCATTTTTAAGTTAACTTATCTAAAAACTAGGTTTACCATAACCTAAAAAATATGACCTGAATAAAATCAAAGCATTTAACTACCTCCAACCTATAACTTAGCACTTCAACAACTTACAAAGTTTTATTTCACAAATCTTGCATATTTTATTTTATTTGAACTTTATTACATGGTTTTACTAACTTAAATAATATAACTTATATGAACTCTAAATGGACCTATTAAACCCTAACCCAAATAAGTTGAATTAACTTAAAAGTGACAATGTGACAGGCTGGTGAAGGCACTAACACCAGATCATGTCTCACACACCCCTAGATGCTAACAGCCAATGAAAGTGGGACACTCAAAGTCAAGTCAAGAGTATCTGGTGTGAACAACCACAGTATTAATAACAATGGGACGGCACAGCCGTACAGCATTACTTTGACCAACCTCCTTCCTTATGGGGCCAACATGATACAAAAAGTAACATCTGCAACACTGATTGAAATAATAAATGAGAACAACAATCATCCACAATGAACATGCATAAACACCCCAAAATAGAGCTAAGTAACTGAAAATATGACTACCCGCAATGCACCACGCCCAGCAGTTTTTTATTGTTCCTGCAATCCATCAAAAATTACTAGTTTGTGGTTGTTTTTCCTGGAAATCCACAATAAAAAAAAATACAAGTCTTTTTATCAGACACACTTTAGAGTTGACGTAAAGACGAATGGAATAACATAGAAACATAAAATAATAAATCAATCATTTTTTGTTAATATTACTCATTAAAGTTAAGTTGTCTTTTATTGATTAATTAAAGTTATGCTTACTTAAAAAAAGAAACAGTTCAGATTAAGTAAAACATTTGAGTTCTATGTACTTAAAACAAGGAAAAGGTTGAACAAGCTCAACACATTTGAGTTCTAAAAACATATTTTTTGTTATGAGTTTTATCTACTCAATATATTTGATTATTTTGAACTTTTGGGTTTACAGTGTGGGTAAAAAAACGCAACATTCTAGCATGTTGCTAATAGCTAGCTTCCACTCATCAGGACAAGCTCTGTTCTCTCCCGGCTGCAAAATCAATACAGCCTTCTATGGTCACAAGTCAGGGGGGCGGCGTCATACTTTTACCTGTGATGTAGAAGAAACGGGCTTTTTCTGATGATTGCTTCTCATCTATTTCCTTCCTGCAGCTAATGCAGTCGATGGAGGGTTGAAAACGTTTTGTCAAGTTCATCATGCAAGTCAAACTCAGAGTGATCGATCGTATTTGTAAAATAATAATTATTACAGAGGTTTCTCATGTCCGCTCCACATGTTTTAACCTAAGCAGGAGTTACACAGACCAGGGTCTTTAAACACTTGGTGGTATTAAAAGTGCAACAATGTTCATAAACAGTGTTTGTGAATTAAATAGACAACAGCGACTTTGAAGGCAGCTCTATGGGTTCTGATCTGCTTTAGTTACGCGACTAATGTCTAAAAACACACACAAACTGCAAGATGAAACAGCCAGCTTATGGTTTTCCTAGTAATCTGACTTTTCTTTGCATCTTAAATAAAGCTGAGTAAAAGTGAAACTAACTCAGAGATTTTCAGTGGTCGTTGACCTTGTTGTGCTGACCTTGAATTTCCGACTAAAGCAGTTCTTGGTCTAATGTTGGTGCTGTATCAGGACAAGGCAGAGGTAAAACCTTAGCCAGCAGGTAGAGGTCTGGAGCTCAGTGCCTCTACATCCATCCAAAACAGACCAATGGATGAAACGGGTTTGCATCAGGACATCCACGTGAAGAGTCCTGATTGTGCTGATATTAGGCGGCACAAACACAGTTAACCATCGATGCACATGTTGCGTCATTGAGAGTGTTTGCTGTCAGCCGTAACTTTAGCTGTTCCTTTTCTGCTGCCTAGCTATCATTTACATGCTGCAGCCTGTTTAAAATGGAAGGTATTTGCTGTTCCAGGACTGCATGTAGAATTAATTTAGCCTTGTCTTACCCGACTTCCCATGCAGTACAGTATAGTGAAGTGTGCAAAGGCCAGAACCCGAATCCTATTTGCATGTGAGAACAGGAGAATATACATGAGCTGGTATAGCAGAGCTGAGTCTGTAGAATGGGATACATTCTGATATATATATATATCAGATGTCAAGCTAAACAGAGAGGGTTAAAAAAATTCCCTATCACTTTCATTTTTTAAATAGTAATTAATAAACATTCGATACCATTACA